CTGCTCCTGCTGGGGTTTGGGGTTCCTCTCCCATGTCTGTGCACACCCCAGGGCTTCCCCATGGGATGGGGGATCCCAGGATCCCCCCAGGTCACTCCCATGTGATAGGAGATCCCAGGATCCCCCCAGGTCACAGCACAGGGTCCCACCTGGGCTGAGCTGGTTCTGCTGGGGTTTGGGGTTCCTCTCCCATGTCTGCACACCCCAGGGGTTCCCCAGGAATTGGGGTTCCCGAGTTCCTGCTGCTCCCCGGGCACCGCCTGTGTCACAGCAGCGCAGCCACAGACTGCAGCACGCCCTGGAATAAGGCAGCAATTCAATTTTAACACCCTCAAGTGACAAATGGAGCTTCAGTGAACCCTGCATTTGGTTCCTGAGCGCTGCAGAACTCGCAGCTCCCTCGCACATACCTGAACCAGCACATATGGTCCACTCTCACTGCCAGCAAAATGAAACCCGAGTTTCACAGCAGAAAATTCTCGCTCAAGGATTAAGGAGTCCACACTTAACGAGTTGCTACCCTGAGAATTATTGTTACTTCTCTTTTTTTGTCTTTTTTTTTATTACTATTTTTAAAGGGACAATGCTTCCAGATAATATTAGATTGCAAACAAAGGAAAAATCTTCACCAAATGATCCTCATTCCCAACCAAAATCCAGATATTTCCAGATATTTAGGACAGCTCTCCTTGTTTTGACTGGATTAAATCAATCACAGTATAAAATAAGACATTTCAGCTTGGTCTTTGAGTCAAACCTCTGAGCCAACATCCCCCATTTCCCTCCCGAGGTCAGGAGCAGACCCAGATTTTTGTATTTTCTCAGACCATTCTGCCTCCCACGTCCCCTCTCTTTCATGATGGAGAACATCTATTTTTATGATTTGCACCAATGCACTTGGTACTTGTGTGACATTTTCAGCCTCTGCCTCTCAAAGTGCTTTTCAAGGGTGGCTACAAGGCACCTCACAATTTAAGATGGAAAAAATCCTGGCAGCAGCTCAGAGACAGATTCAGCTCTGCTCTGTTGCAATGAAGCCAGACCTTCATTTTACCTGCTCTGAATTGCAAATACATCAAATTCCAGCTCCTTCTGCCTTAATATTCCTTTGTTTCCACTTGCATTTCCTGTTTAAAATAAGTGTAACGTCGTTCCCACTTTGGTAATGATCCCTCAAATATTAAATAAATGGCAGCAAAGGCTCCCTGTTATTTTGTGCCTGTTACATCTCCCCTGCAGGAATTCAGAACCTCCTGACACCACTCATCACGTGGGCAGTACGTTCAGGAGGAAATTTCACGGAAGAAAGGCAATAATTGTGGGATTTAAGCAGCTGAAACCCTGCATTTCCACTCAGTGAGGAATGTCTTTATGTGAGGGATACACCCTGAGTTTTGTCTCTCTTTTATCAGCAGCAGAACAGAGCAGCTCCACCACCAACACCTTTGGAGCCACCAGCAGATGGCTGAATATCCAACAGCAGTGAAGTGCCAAAAGCCACAGCCAAAAGTACCTCCCAAACAGCACCCTGGAGACCCTTTTGGGGTATATTTGCCTTTTGGGCACCCAACGCTTCTCCTCTCACACTGCCCGCTGTCCTTTCCAAGAGATTTCACCTCTCTGCACCCAGGGACAAAGCGAGCCCAGAGCTCTGGCACATCCCAGCTCTCCAGCTCAGGGATTCCTGGCAGTGGGCTGGGAAATCTCTGCCTTGCTTTGAGTGGTGCCTTGGGGAGCTGTGCAGCACGGGCTGGGGTTCCTGGCACAGCCACAAGTGCCTGACCCCCAGAACGTGCCAGGCTCCCAGAACCTTCCCCGGCACGGAGCGGCCAGGCCAGCGCAGAACCTGCGAGTCCCGACGAGCACAGGGGCCTTCCCAGGCTGCTCCGAGCTTCCCTTGGCTCGGGAATCCACGGGCTGGGAAGAACCGACCCTGAGCGTTTGCCACGCTTTGTCCCCGTTACTTACGGTTGAGAGGCAGGCTGGCATTGGTCGTCCCTAGCTTGTTGGCAGCGACACAAGTATAGTTGCCAAAGTGCTCTTCTGTCACATTGGTAACAGTAAGAAGGGATCTTGTACTATAATTTTTAATAGTGATTCCTTGTTGACCATTGATCAGTCTAGAAAGCAAAAAGAAAATGTCTATAACTCATATACCACAACCAAGATTTCTTTCTTTTCATAGCTCTCTTTTCTTCCCTGGTTTTGCAGACAGCCCTGGGAGCTCCACGAGCTCTTTGCAAGCTGCCAGTGCCTGTGCCAAGCACAATTCCTGGCACTTTGGAGAGGCCAGGGCCAGCCCTGGGGGTGCTTTTTAAAGAAATAAAAATTTATTTATTTAAAAATATTTTTTAAAATTTTTTTAAAAATAAAAAAATGTGTCCTGCAGCTGAGGGACAAGAAACAGCCACGGCCCTTCCTGCCTGGAGGAGCAGGGCACAGAAACTCCCGGATGCAGAGCTGGGATTTTAAACTGGGCAAAGCCAACTGGGAGCCAAAACACCCTCCCTGGGGCAGAAAGGGGTGGTGGGAAGGCTTTGTAAGAGGGTTTTTTCAGCCCCTGGAGTTTGCTGTGTGCTTGCACAGCTCTGGCTGGTGGCAGGTGAGGATGAGGAGCCAGGATTGTGACCATGGTTTGGTTTATGGGGCTCTACAGCTGCAAATGAGCCTTGCAATTCGGGACAAAATGCTCCAGCAGCACTGCTGAGGCAGAGCCTGGGCAGGATCAGGAGAAAGCCAAAACAGGACTCTTTTCACCCAGCTTTGAGCTTCCTACCCCAAATCCATAGGAAAAATGCAGGAGTTTGGATAATGCTCCCAAAGCCATGCCAGGGGCAGTGCTGGGCACCAGGACAAAGCAGGAGAACCAACTCTAATGATGCTGTTGTGGGCAAACCACGTCTGATCAAACCAGGAGACGAGAAGGGGAACAGTGTTATTAAAAACTCGCTACAGTTATTACTCATAATTCCTTCTGTTTCCCATAAGGACCAGAGTTTTGGATTAAGAATACAATTTTTGTCTGCTATATTGGAGGATATAATCATATATCCTGGGAATTAATGCCATCTTCTACCGTTCTGTCTGAAAACCTTGGCAAATCTATCATTAACTGCACGTGTGCAGGTTGTGGACTGAGCACTGCTCATTGTTTTGGGAGTGCCTCTCTTCCCATCAGACCCCTGCAGGCTCTGCTCACACAGGGCTTCTCCTCCCCAGCAGTTCCTGTTGCTGTAAAGGACCCTGCTCTTCCATGCCACATCCCATGGGCACGAAAACCTGGAAAAATGGGATTGCAGTGCCTGGTTTGGGGTGAACTCTGCTCTTTTTTGTCCAGAAAGAGAAAACTTCTGTGCCAGGCAGAAACTTGTGCCTTCAGCCTTTGCACGTGGATGTTCTCCTCTAAACCCACCAGTGGCTGTCCCTCTGTTTCCTGCCTCTCCTGCAGGAAATTCCAAAAGAGTTCCTCACTGCCAGGCCCCTCTGCTGTGCTGCTGCCATGCACAGGTGCCCAGAGCAGCTGGGGCTGTCCCTGGATCCCTGGCAGTGCCCAAGGCCAGGCTGGATGGGTTTGGAGCAGCCTGGGACAGTGGGAGCTGTCCCTGCCATGGCAGAGGGGTTGGGGTGGGATCTGAGGTCTCTCCAACCCAAAGCAGTTTGGGATCCTGTGCTTTGCAGCAGCTGTTCCCAACAGCTCCACGCTTTTGGCCCACAGGCAGAGTTTGAGCCACACCATCTCCATTTTCACCTGCTTCACCTCCTTTTTTCCCCAGGGAAAACGGAGCCTTGGGATTTTTGCTGTCACCATGCCCTGTCTCAGGTGACACCTGCCCCAAAACAGCCGAGAGTGTCTGCTGTGACCTGCTGCCCTCCCTGGCTGCCCAGGGCTGCCAGCTCCTGCCCCTCCAGTGCTCCCAGTGCCCGCTCTGCAGCCCTGCTGGGAAGGGGCTGGCACTGGTGGCTCCGGGCTGGATGCTCTGGAGCAAACCTCTGGCCAGATGTGCAGATCCATGAGCATTCCCTGAGCAGCAGCTGGCCGGAGCTGCCCTGAGGCTGTGGCTGTGCAGCTGCTTTTCCTGGGGAATTCCTTGCTCAGGACTGAGCACACGTTTAGCATGTTCTCTGTGCCTCAGCTGTGCCCCCCAGGCTGCAGCAGCACTTTGGGGTGTGTGCAGCCACCCTGCAGCCTCCTTCCCCCCTGCTTTGTGCCTCTCCCAAGGGGAGAGCGAGCTCCTTCTCATTCCAGAGGTGTTTCCCACGCGTGGCCATCGCTGCCAGCCCCGGGGCCTGCCCCTGCTGCCACCTCACCGTGATGGAGCCACCATCATCACTTTTGTTGTTTCAAATGTAAGTCGTGTTTGCTTTGAGAAGGAAAAGGGAATTAATATTTTAATGTTTTATTTAGGTGACTTTTGGGCTCCTTCCCTGTGGCTGTTTAATGTCTGAGATGTAATTTCTGTAACCCCAGAACACAGCCTGAGAGCAGATGTGGGTTCAGGGCTGGCACAGTGAAGATGTTCTGCTCTCCACAGGGAACCCTCAGCAGTCTCCAAAGCCACACACATTTCCACCAGCCCATCCCTGGCAGTGCCCCTGGACCCCTGGCAGTGCCCCTGGACCCCTGGCAGTGCCCCTGGACCCCTGGCAGTGCCCCTGGACCCCTGGCAGTGCCCCTGGACCCCTGGCAGTGCCCCAGGACCCCTGGCAGTGCCCCAGGCCAGGCTGGACACTGGGGCTGGGAGCAGCCTGGGACAGGGGCAGGTGAGAATGGGATGGGATTTAAGATCCCTTCCAACCCAACCGTGTGATGTTTCGATGACAATTTTAAGATGCTTTTATTAACTTGTCCCCCAAATTTTCTCCATCTCTCCCCACCCTGGGGGAAGTTATTGAGCAGAACTCCTGGGAGCTCAGTGATTAGGCAGAATTAGCCCTCTCTGCCTCAAAGAGCAATAACTTTAACTCAGTGCAGTCTGTTACTGCCTCTGTGTTTAGCTTTAATGGTTATTTTATGATGAGGTGATCCCTGGAGCCTGGGAATGGTGGGTTTGGATTTACATTAATCTCAGTAACAACAAAGCAGTTTCCACCCCCAAAAGCCTTGTTTCAGACACTGCACACACACTTATGATTTCAGGGCTGACTCCCACTGCTAATTTATTGAAATAAAATATCCATCCAGATTTCTAAGAAAGAGGAGTCCCAGTCCAAGAGTCTCTGATAAAAATGGGTCCCTCTCAGTTGTGTTAGCAGAGAACCCAGAGGCTGTGCACTCCCAGGGTGTAAGCTCAGCCCTGAGCACGGCTGCAAGTTATCTGCAGGGTACTGGAGGTGCTCCTGCGAGCTCCCCCGGGAGCTGAACCTTCTCAGCTCTGCATCAAAGCAGTACCTGAGCTGCCCAAAACTCACCCTGAGCTGCCCAAAACTCACCCTGAGCTGCCCAAAACTCACCCTGAGCTGCCCAAGGTCACCCTGAGCTGCCCAAGGTCACCAAAACTCACCCTGAGCTGCCCAAGGTCACCAGAACTCACCCTGAGCTGCCCTAAACTCACCCTGAGCTGCCCTAAACTCACCCTGAGCTGCCCTAAACTCACCCTGAGCTGCCCTAAACTCACCCTGAGCTGCCCTAAACTCACCCTGAGCTGCCCTAAACTCACCCTGAGCTGCCCTAAACTCACCCTGAGCTGCCCTAAACTCACCCTGAGCTGCCCTAAACTCACCCTGAGCTGCCCTAAACTCACCCTGAGCTGCCCAAGGTCACCAAGGCTCACCCTGAGCTGCCTGCCCATCATCCAGAGGCAGAGGGGAGACACTGGGTCCAAACCAGCCCAAACCAACACCTATGGGTGTTTTTCCTGCAAGGGATGGGGCTCAGAGATCCCCAGCACCTTTGCTCACAGCATCCCCTGAGCTGCAAGGGACCCCCAAGGGTCATCAAAGCCCAGCTCCTGGAAGGATGGAGCATTAGATTTAACCCAGTATTTGAGCAGCAAGACCCAACAGGACAGAGCTTTTCCTGCTGAGGTGAAACACCAACCAAAACAGGAGCAGAAGCACAGCTTGGGTGTCCTGAAATATTCTGCTTCTCCTTTCCTGCTGCTGCCGTGGCACTGAAGGTGCTCAGCAGAGAGGAGCTGGGTCAGTTGTTATGAACAGAAAGGTGATCAGCGAGCTGGGAGCTGCTAACTGAACCCAGAGTGCCAAAAGCTGCTCTGAAACATCCCCACAGAAAGGCTGTTTGTGCTGCAGCTGCCCCTGCCTGGGCACGAGCAGCCGTGGAAATGAGCTGCAGATGGATTCCACCAACAGAGAAACATTCCCGGAGCACAGAGGAAGGAGCAGTTCAAGGGAAGCTTTAGGACACGGTGGGATGCGATGGCCCAGCAAAGAGGGAGGAGGACAGCAGCTCGTGCTGCAGGAGGGGAGCAGCTGAGGAAGGAGCTGGCAGATGGCTTTCTGTGAAAAAGGGTCATTAATATTCTCCTGCCAGCTCCCAGGTTTAAGGGGATGTTCGAGCTGAAAAACCCCGCACTTGGAAGCTGGGAAATTCCCAAAGCTTCCCAGTTACAAGGGACAATATCCACCTGCTTTGCACCAGTGTGTGAACCCAACAGAAACGAGCTCCTGCAGAAGCCAAGAGCTGTAAACCAAAATGTCCAGGAGAAATACACCTCCCTGCTGGATGAGCTGCCCGTGGGATGAAGGTGCCTCTGCAGAGATGCTGCTGCTGTGCCACAGCCCCCAGCAGGCAGAAGGGCAGGGGCTGCACACAAAGCCAGCACACACGGACAGCTTTCAGGGTTCAGCTGCCCTGCCAGAGCCCTGCTGGCCCCAGGGAACACAGCCAGGGCACACCACAGCTCCCCTCCAAAGGGAGGGACGCAAATTCAACAAAAACCCTCTCTGCAGATTTCCCCAGCGCTTTTCTGGCTCTCACCCTTCAAAGGCTGCAATTCCTGCAGCACCTTTGGATGCCAGGCTCTTGCAGTTTCCTCTCTCACAGAACAGGAGCCGTGGCCACGGGGCAGCTCCTGGAGCCGGCAGCTCCAAGCACCCACTGGGGCTCGGGAATCTGCTGGGGCTCGGGAATCTGCTGGAGCTCGGGAATCTGCTGGGGCTCGGGAATCTACTGGAGCTCGGGAATCTGCTGGGGCTCGGGAATCTGCTGGGGCTCGGGGAGCTGCTGGAGCTCGGGAATCTGCTGGAGCTCAGGAATCTGCTGGAGCTCGGGAATCTGCTGGGGCTCGGGAATCTGCTGGAGCTCGGGAATCTGCTGGGGCTCGGGAATCTGCTGGAGCTCGGGGAGCTGCTGGAGCTTCAGGAGCTGCTGGAGCTTCGGGAGCTGCTGGGGCTCAGGGAGCTGATGAGGCTCAGGGAGCTGCTGGAGCTCGGAATGGTCACCCCGGGGCAGCCCCAGCCTGGCAGCAGCCCTGGCACACGAGGGGTGGGCGAGCAGTGGCTACTTACTTCCTCTCTCCTTTGTACCACTCAAAGAGTGGGGCAGGCACTCCTGCACCTTCACACCGGATCAGGCCGTTCCCTCCAAGCATCACACCGCTGGATTTAAGTTCCTGAATTGTGGGGGCAACTGAAAAATAAGAATTGTGAAACGGACATTGGCATCTGGATAGGCAGGTCACCCGAGGCCGCTGCTGCTCTCGGCCCCTTTCTCCAGCCTGAGCCACACTGCAGCACGTTGTGGGGAAAATGATCCCACCCTGCAGGTCCTGCTCCGTGTGCCTGCTGTCAAATCCCAGCTGGGACGTGAAGAGAGCCCAGCCCAGCTGTGGACAGAGAGCCTGGTCCAGCTGTGGACAGAGAGAGAGCCCAGTCCAGCTGTGGACAGAGAGAGAGCCCAGTCCAGCTGTGGACAGAGCCCAGTCCAGCTGTGGACAGAGAGAGAGCCCAGTCCAGCTGTGGACAGAGCCCAGTCCAGCTGTGGACAGAGAGAGAGCCCAGTCCAGCTGTGGACAGAGCCCAGTCCAGCTGTGGACAGAGCCCAGTCCAGCTGTGGACAGAGCTGCTTTCCCAACAGTGGCCCAAGGGCAGCACAGCTGCCAGCAGTGTTTAATCCCGTCAGGATTTCAGTCCCGAGCTCGGGGAGAGGCTCAGGAGCCCCTGGCACTGGCAGATCCCCAGGGCCAGCAGCTCTCATCTCCTGCACTGGCTGCAAACAGCCCCAGCCCCAGAGCTCAGGTGGCCTTTGAGATCTCAGACTAAAGGAATAAACCTCCAAGATGATGAGTATCCACAAATATCAGAGAAGAGAGACTTTCCCATCGTTCCACTGCACATGGAGTTGTTTCAGTGAGTGCATTTTGTCTTTTTAAATAGCAAACATTGTAAATAGTAATAAACTTTCTGAGCTTAGAACTACAGACACAAATAAAGATGAAAAGCACTTGTCAGGTTTTCCAGTTGCCAGCCAAAGGAACCACCAGCTGAAAATAAAACACAGCAAATTCCTCAGGAAAGAGATTATCAAAGGCAACAACTGCCTCCTCCTGGAACTTTTTACGTTCTCTGATTTTAAACAATAATTTATGTGCATCATCAAAACGCTGTAAAACCCAAACCACATAACTTATAAATAAAAACCTGTTTCTTTTTTCCCGAGCACTTCTCCAGATGTTGCTTTAAGGTGTTTATGGGCTCTGCCTGCCTCGCTCTGCCTCCCTCACCTGGGGCTGCTGCTCCCCACCCCAGCTCGGACCCGATCCAGGAGCTCCTCACGAGCTGAGGCTGAACCTCCTGAGAGCTGAAGGGTCCCTGGGCCACCCCAGCTGAGCCTGAGCCCGCCAGGAGCTCCCAGAAAAGCTGGGAATAAAGCCCAGGAGCTGCTGGCTTGGGCTGTGGCCAGGATGGAGAGCTGGAGGTGGCCACAGGAAACATCTGCCAGCCCCAGATCAGCAGTGCTGAGTGAGCCCCAGCCACCCCCAGCTCCTCCAGCTGCAAACCCCTCCCCGTGGGGAAGGCAAAGGCATCCCACTGGGAATATCCCACTGAGCCACGGGGAATTCTGGCTGTTTGCACACCTGGAGGCAGGGGCACAGCTGGGTGTGGGATGGGCACGGCTGTCTCAGCTCTGTAGCCAGGGATTGCTGTAATAATTCTGTATTTCCAGAATAATACAGAATAATGCTGTAATTCCAGAAAACCCGATCCAATGGCTCTGTAAATCTGAAATACTCAATGAACACTGCTAAACCCCCGTGCAGCGTTATCTCTGCCTGCCTGTCCCCTGCAGTGCCACTGCCACTCCCCTGGGAGCCATCCCAAAGCTGGGCTGGCCTGGCTGTGCCTGGAGCTCCACAAACCTGGGCAAACACAGCTCCTGGTGCTCCTCAGGAGGTGTCTGAGGGACCAAACCCCGCCTGTGGCACAGGGTGAAGTGTTCTCTGTGCTACAGCCTCACCCCCAGCTGCTCCCACCCTGCAGGAAGGGAATGTCCTGGGAACGCAGCTGCCAGGCCAGGGGCAGCAAACACAGTGCTCAGCACAAGTCCTGATTTGAACCAAACTGGGTGAGGGAGCTTCCCCTGGGGCTGGACCAGAGCCCTTCTCCCTCTTCCATCGCTCCCCCAAATCCGACTCACACACCGGCAAACTCACCCTTTGCCTCCAGCTGCCTCACCCAGCAATTACAGCAAACCAGCCCATAAATTCATTAGCTTTCATTAGCTTTCACCCAGTAACATCAACGTTGGAAGGGGATAAGAAACGTACAAGCAATTTGCATGACTACTTCTCCATAATCTGCATAAGGCAAACCACAGATTGTTTTTGTTACTCCATAAAAACCACAGAGACATGAGAAACATCCCCACTCCTTCCCTCGGGTTATTGCTGCTTCCCCCTGGGCCTGCTCACCTTTCCCTGGGTGTTCTGGGGACATTTTGGGGATGTTTTGGTTTTGGTTGGCTGGCTGAGCAGCAGAACATCCCTGCCAGTGTGTTTCAGGATGGGATGGTGCAGAAAAACTTGCATTTTACTGCTGGTGGAAGGGGACGCCAGCTGCATCCCAGCCCTAAAGAACAACTCCAGGCTCTGCTGCTGCTTTGGAAACTGCTGGAAAACTTGTGAGGAGGAGATTTTCTCAGATCTCCCTTTGAGGAGGATTTCAGCTTCTGTTTGTTCAGAATAAGAACTGAAATCAATGTTCCCTGCTCCAGGAAATCCCTGGTTAATACAGGCATGGAAACACAGAGCGGAGACTGTTGGAGCCTCCATCTCTTGCATTTATCCCTGCCAGGTTATTTTATGGCTTTCAGTCTAAAGACAAACTGTGGGATGCAGTCGTGTTCCTGGAGCACTGGTTAGGGAGCCAAAAATCCATCAGACCTGGAAGCCTGAGCAGCTCCAGGTGAAATCCCACAGCCCAACCCTGCTGCTCTGGAATGGGGAGAGACAGCTGGGAGGAGAAATCTGGTTAAAAAGAAGCTGAGGCTGAAGGGAGGTGAAGGGACAAGTGAGATTGCAGCTTCCCCTCAGCCCCGTGTGTGGGAAGGGATTCCGTGGGTCAGGGGGTGTGGGGCACCCCCTCATAAATAACAATAAACAAGGAAACGAGCCCTTGGCCCAAAGCTGTGGGGCAGCAGGAGGGAGGGAAGGCTGGCAGGGAAAGCTGGCAGAGGCTGCAGGAGGAGGGAAGGGGTGTCTGGATAATCCTGCCCCCCTCAGCTCCCAGGGCAGGATTATCCAGACAAATCAACGGCTGGAGGAGCCACTGCAATGAAATCTAACGGGGATGTTAACAAGGAAACCTGCTGTAAAACCAATCATTTAAAATGTATTTGTCATTTTTAGGTCTCCTAAATAACGGTTAAATGAAATGATAGAGGGAAGATGTGATTATCTGTGTCTGTCAGCAGCACTGGCTCCTGTGACTCACATCCAGAGGTTTTTCTCCCCACAGTGGCTCCTGCTCAATCCCCTCCCATGGCTCATCCCTGCAGAGCCGGGCATCGCAAATAAATGTTTCATTCCCGGCTTGGAAATGAGTTACAGGAACTGGCCTGGTGGCAATGTCCCCAGTTCCTCTGAGTGCCTTGCTGGGAAAGGCTCTTTGGGGCTGCAGCTCCACGGGAGCGTTCCCAATGTCCTCCCCTCGATGTCCTCCCCTCGATGTGCTCCCCTCGATGTCCTCCCCTCGATGTGCTCCCCTCGATGTCCTCCCCTCGATGTGCTCCCCTCAATGTCCTCCCCTCAATGTCCTCCCCTCGATGTGCTCCCCTCAATGTCCTCCCCTCAATGTCCTCCCCTCAATGTCCTCCCCTCGATGTGCTCCCCTCGATGTCCTCCCCTCGATGTGCTCCCCTCGATGTCCTCCCCTCAATGTCCTCCCCTCGATGTCCTCCCCTCAATGTCCTCCCCTCGATGTCCTCCCCTCAATGTCCTCCCCTCACGAGGGACAGCTGGCCCTGAGCCCAAACACACATTTATTGTCCCCAAAGCCAGCGACTTCTGTGTCCCACAGGAGGGCTCTGGGCACAGGGGTGGGAGGGAGGGGAGCTGGGTCCATCCTGCCCCGAGGTGGTGCCAGGTGTCCCTGGGGGCTCGGGGCCCCCTGCACAGAGCGGTGCCCAAGGCCAGGCTGGGCACTGGGGCTGTGGACGGGGTCCCTGCATGGCAGGGCTGGAATGGGGTGGGATTTGAGTCTCTCCCAAGCCAAACCTGTCCCTGTCCCTGACTCTGCACCCCTGAGCTCCCCAACACCTGCACACAGAAACCCAAACCTGTCCCTGGCCCTGAGCTCCCCAACACCTGCACACAGGAACCCAAACTCTGTCCCCAAAGTTCTGCTCCAAACCAAACCAAACCCGTCCCCATCCCAAACATTTCCAGGCTGCTCCCAAGGGTCTAAAGGAGGAGTTAAACCCATGGCATCCCCAGGCACAGGGAATGCACCAACTCCAGCAGGTTTCCTCTTTTAACATTTTAATGAGCTTCGGGACTTTTATGCACATTAGTTATGTTGCCCTAATTACTCATTATAATTCTAATGTGCATTTTATATTTAATTACAATGCTTATAAAGATTTGGTATGGACAGTAAATTATTATAACTAGCATGTGCATAATGATTATGAGCTGAATTTATTAACTTTTACACAAGCATTCAGGGTTGGAAACTTTCAATTTCACCTTTGTGAGCCCCCATATTGTCTGACTAAACCAATATTTCTGTGGCATTAATTGTAAATGTCAAGAAAAAAAAAAGATCTTTTATTTTCCGTGTTTTCATCAGCTTTTAATTTGGCATCCTAATGTCATCTTTTGTTAGTGAAATTGCTTTCCAAGGTGTTAAGATAAAAAATTCCAGGTAAGAGAACAAGGTTTTCTGAGATGCGTTTTGTGCTCAGAAAAACAGATATCAGCAATACTCAAATATATTCTTTTCTGTATATGCACCCTCCCAGTGTTTTACCAACACAGTAACAAGTCAGACAGTGTTACTTGTACTTTATGTAATTAAGATGGGCTTTTGATGCTCTGGATTATTTAATTTCTCTAATTTATCCAGAGCAGCAGCCCTACCTCTCCCCAGATTAATGGAGTGGTTTAATAATGGCTCCTCATGTCAGAGCCT